ATAATAAACTAGTTTGCATAAGAAAAATATATATTTTGTTTAATTTGTTTTTAGGCGTTGCGTAGTATATGTAAAATCGCCATTTAATATGAAAATCACACCTAAAACAACATAAAAGAAATTAAATTATAATTTAAATTAATAATAATGATTATGATATTTTTCCGGTGTTTAATTAATTAGTTTACTAGCCATATCTGTTAAATATAGGTTTTTTTGTCCTATCAACTAAAGTAATTTCTGTTATTTTTTTTAAGTGATTAATTTACATTTTTATTTTAAAATTCTTATATAATGCAGTGTAGTTTTATAAATGAGCATTTTGCTAAAATAAAACTGTGCTGCATTCTATTTTTTAATTGGAGATTGGACAATGGAAGGTAATTTTTCACGATAAGTTCAAATTACTTCTTAAACTCTTAACTTTGGGGGATAAATAATATTTATTATTTAATAAGTTACACAATTCATTAACCCATCAACATTTGCTCTTGGTCTCCTTGATATTGTTTACCCCAAATTTAAGACAAATAATCCTGATCTGAGCGAATGAATAAATATTATCTTTATTTACATAATAAATAGTATACATGATAGGAAAATGTTATGTTTTCTTACCAAATTTAAATTTTAATGATGTGGGGGTAAACAGTACAGTGATTGGCCCTTTTAAATACTGAAGAATTTTAATATTGAATTTTTATTTAAAAACAAAACTATTTTACTGTGCGCTTATTACATTACTGTTGCGGTTGCTAGTATGGGAACCACTGATTTAAAAAAAATCCCCTAAATTTTATATCAGGGGTCTTATATAAAGCCCAGCAGTCATTTCAGTTATAATTTCAGAAATTAAAAAATAATTTAAAGTATTCCCTTAAAAAATAGAGATGTACTATGCTCCACACCTCAAAGTCCCACCACGTGACCACGTACGGAACGCAGTCTTTTGAAAATTTGGCATTTAAGGCTTTTCAGGTTATGTATCTGTCAAAGTATAGTCAATGAAAGAAATAATATTATGTTTAGGCGTTAAAAATGTATAAATCTTTATAACATTAGAATAACAATGGATGGTTTAAGAATTTAAGAATATAAATACTGCATTTAATGAAATTCTAAAGTATATGGTGCCAAATAAGTAATATTTTTGTGCATTTGGTCAAATATCTGGTTTTCTCCATAAAATAATTTTAACTAAACAGCATTTATTTAAAAAAAAATCTAGCTTCTCTATTATGGAATAAAATTATCTGTATTAAAGGTAGGTTAATATATTATATAACAAAAATATCATCTAATTTTGAAATTTTAAGGTTACTCAAATTTATTTTGACCAAAATAAATAAGTATTTTGGATTATTTAAAATACTGTATAATATGGTATTTAAAAATGTAGTAGTTTTTCTTATCCAGCTTAAAGTGTACCTACATAAAGTTTTGTCAATACAAATAGTTAAAAAGCTTCGACTGAATTTGATCTACATCAAAAAATCATTATAACTTTAAAAATTTTAATAAATCACATGTTATGGGAGTATTAAATATTTTCACATTGCAAGTTTCTCTAAAAATTGTTTGTTTTCTTATAATCTAACTCAAAGTAAGTATGCCGAGAGATATGCACAAGTTTTGTCGTTAGAAGTATAAAAGCTTCAATTTAATTTGTATATTCAACAATTATTTAGTATACCTATATTTATTTATGACCATAATAACACACTCTTTCAAATAATCCACTTATTTATTTTGGTCAAAATAGATTTTTCTAACCTTAAAATACAAAATTAGATGATATTTTTTGTTCTTATACCTTTGATACAGATATTCTTATTTCATAATAGAGAAGTTAGATTTGTTTTAATAAATGCTGTTTAGTTAAAACTATTTTATGGAGAAATGTAGACCCAATGCACAAAAATATAACTTATATTGCACCTTACACTTTGGAATTTCATTAAATGCAGTATTTATATACCTAAATTCTTAAACCAACCATTGTTATTGTGATGCTATAAAGATTTATTAACTTTTAACGCTTAAACATAAGCGGTAGCACTATAAATATTATTTCTTTCAAAAGACTGCGTTCCGTACGTGGTCACGTGGTGGGAGCATAGTACCTAAAAAGAGCAATCTTCAGGTAAATACTGAATAAGTTAAGTAGCTACAGGTCTATTTATAAGCAATACTTGCTAAGGCAAGGGAAGTCCAAAACCTTTCTTTATTGAATTTATTGGCCTGCTATATTTTACAAAGATATGCATTATTTTTATTTTAATTTGAATACAGATTTTTGTTTAAACTAAATTTGATGGTTTTTTAAAAATTATCGTTTATTGTATTAATCAATTTTCATTAAACCATAAAAACCTTAAAAAACATAGGTACAAAATATTTAATTTATTTTGACTAAAACTTTGTTTTTATTGTTGACTTTTAATCCGGTCCTGTTTCCTTACCATAGTTTATCGAACTTTTACTTTCGACTCATCCTCATTCAAGTCAGTCATTTCGATTTTGGAAACGTGATTATTGATGATGTCTTAAAGAAAGTAAGAGTAAAAGTAATTATAATCACATGGCTTAGCTCGAAATAAAACATTTCTTTTTAAATATTAAATATTTAATTTAAATATTTATAATACCATAATAAGTTTGTAATATGCATATTAACCATTAACCATTGTTATATAAACTGTAATTTTATAAAATATATCCATGTTGAATTAGTATTGTATTTTCACTTTTATTATTGTTGGGCAAATTAATAAAAAAAATTAGATTTAATATTTAAAAAAAAATCGTTTTTTTCAGTTTTTTAAATTCTATTAAGGTTACATTCTGAATAATTATTGTACGTTAATTTTTTCTTATCGAATGTATTTATTTTATTATAAAAAATAAAATGATAGAACTTTAATCCCGGCGCATTCGCCATTTTTGCAAATAAATAAAATTGCAATATTATATTTGCCGCCATTTTTGTAAAGCTTTGAAAAGATTAAAAAAAAAATTAAATGTGATTTTTTCAAGTGTCCACGATTTTTTAACTAATATTTAAGTTTCCTTTGGTTTAAGTTTTATACATTATTTCATTCGGTGATAATTATCAATTGCGCACCATGGTCACTTTTTACTTGCCAGCATTAAATCCTTTAATTTAAAGGATTATTGTACTATTTTTAATAAAAATAACACATTTAAGTTAAAAAACATTATTTTGTCAATTAATTAATTTAATCCTAATTGTATAAAAAATGGTATTTAGTTATAAATAATAATTATTATTGAGGTATAGAAGAAACTATTTATACATAGTTTAGCATTATTTAATCAATTTAGTTCGAAGATTAATTTGCAAACAAAAAGACCCATCTTCGTTAAGTAGTTATTTATAATGGATTTTTTAACAGTGGAAGAAAAAATAGAAATGATTTTGATTTATGGAGAAGCAGGCAGGAATCTTGATGATGCTGTTATATCTACGCTCAGCGTTTTCCGGAAAAAATTCGATCACGTACTTTATTTTACCGCACAGTCAAGCAGTTTACTACAAACGGGAGTGTTCAATCGGAAAAAAGAGTTCGTCGAGCAAATATTTAATGTTGTTATTTTGAGCACCTACTTTAATTAAAATTTAAAAAATTAATAAATAAATTTAAAAATAAAGTATTTTATTTAAAAATTATTGAATCGTATACAGAAGAAAAATCAAACACAATTGATTTTTTTTTATTACAGCGCCATCTATTACACATATTAATAAATGTTTTTATTAAAATCTACCTATTTTTAGTCGAATGATCCGAATCTGCAATAAAAAAGTGTGTTCTATTGAAAATTTTAAAGTTACCCCCTGTTCCCCCTATAAGGAGGATTATGAGGACCAATTTTAGTACTGATCGATTTCCCCCTCGAATAGTTTAATTTTTATTTTAAACATTTTATAGTAAAATGCATATTAACTGAGAAGTTTCAAGTAAAATGACTGACCCTTAGACTGGGCCAAAAAAATTGTCCATTTTTTTTGAAAAATATATCGAGAATGTCATTCAGAATGATAAAAAAAAATTTCGTGAAAATTTGAGCCCTTAATATTAATTTTAAGAGGTCTATCATCGCTATTTTTGATTTTTAGTCATAATTTGATGTATTACGTTAGAACTGTCAAAACATTAAAGTGAAAAACATTCCTTTTCACTTATTTTTATATAAAATTAAATTCTCTACAAAAAAGGTCTGATTGAAAATTTTTGTCAGACGAGCCGTTTCCGAGTAATTGAGCTTAATAAATCGATGTGTTTTTTCGATTTGCCCTTTTTACTTTGAAATTTTGTAACTAATGAATCAATGAATATTTAAAAAAGCTCACGTTGGATTCTTAAAGGAAATTTAATGTTCTACAAAAAAGGTCTCTTAACATTTTTGCCTTAATTTAATTCTTCAAAAGTTATTCACGAAGAAAAAATTGAAGTTTTTCTTCGATTTTAAAAACACATCGATTTATTAAGCTCAATTACTCGGAAACGGCCCGTCTGACGAACATTTTCAATCAGACCTTTTTTGTAGAGAATTTAATTTTATATAAAAATAAGTGAAAAGGAATTTTTTTCACTTTACTGTTTTGACAGTTCTAACGTAAAACATCAAATTATGACTAAAAATCAAAAATAGCGATGATAGACCTCTTAAAATTAATATTAAGGGCTCAAATTTTCACGAAATTTTTTTTTGTCATTCTGAATGACATTCTCGATATATTTTTCAAAGAAAATAGTCAATTTGTTTGGCCCAGTCTACTGACCCTGTATAAGATTATTAAAATATTATTATTTAAAACTTGATTATAAATGATTTGAAATGAGCTATTTTATGTGTATTATTATAGCACCACTAAAAACACAATAAATTAATTAACATTAAACCTCAGGTTATACTAGTTTGTAGGAAACATTTTTACTATTAACTTGTGCTTATACAACCCATTATGTTCACAGGTGCGGCGGGTCGCTGGTCAGCAGGCGTCATGTAGTCACAGCCGGGCATTGCGTTGCCAGGGCGACCCCTAGACAAGTGCATGTCACCCTAGGAGATTACGTAATCAATTCTGCAGTGGAGCCCCTGCCTGCATACACTTTCGGAGTGTCGACTATCCAGGTTTGACTAATTATATCCGCAAGGGAAATTAGATAATAAATTTGGGCGTTAAAGTTGCTATGTAAACTTATTAATATTAACTGTAATGACTAAAACCCACATTACAACCATAAATTTGTTTTGAGTTGAGTTGGAATTAAGTTATCTGAAATAAAATTATTTCATTATTTAATGCCAAAGATAAAATAAAACTTTAACCATTAAATTAAAAAGATTTTTGATAACATTTGAATTTACTTAGCAGACGTTAGTACTTGTACCAAATTTGCTTTAAAACGCTTTAATTACCTAAGAATTATGACCAGTGGCGGCTGGTGGATTTTGGGTATACCAATATTTCAGTTATTAGACATGGGACCCACACCAAATTTATAATAGTTTATAATGACATTAAATAGACAAGTTCGGCGCAAACAGAATTTAAATTGAAGTTTGAGAAAAAAGTTAGTTTTTCCTGTCGCCTCACCCGCCTCCAGGCCCCCCTATTTGAAATAATTCAAATTAAAGTGGTGCAATTTATTATCTACTATAATTTATCGACAAATTAAAAATTTTATTTAAAAATCCAAATATTACAGGTTTTATACCATTTTAAATATTTTTTTATTTTAATAAAAATGAATAATAAAAATTTAAAATCGAATAAAATCTGTAATATTTGGATTTTTTAAATAAAATTTAAAATTTGTCGATAAATTATAGAAGATAAAAAATTGCACCACTTTAATTTGAATTATCTCAAATAGGGGGGCCTGGAGGTGGGTGAGGCGACAGGAAAAACTAACTTTTTTTCGCAAACATCAATTTAAATTCTGTTTGCGCCGAACTTGTTTATTTAATGTCATTATAAACTATTATAAATTTTGTGTGGGTCCCATGTCTAATAACTGAAATATTGGTATACCCAAAATCCACCAGCCGCCACTAATTATGAAAAAAAAAATATTAAAAAATTAACTTTGAAGGGCGTTACCTCGGCTATAACCTGGAACACCCTGTAGATCAAGCTAGGGGCTTGTAAAGTTTGTTTAAAAAATGTTGGGATTTTATCACTTTCAAATTTATTTAAAGAAACATTAAATGTTTCTTTAGTGATGAAAACCCTACATTTTTCAAACAAGACCCTTTAAATTTGAAAAAGTTTGTGCAAATATTTTTTTATTTTATTAAAATATGGACAATACATACTAGGGTGGTCGTCCCTTTAAAAGCTTCTTTTTGATAAAAAAAAAACACTAGGAATTTTTTTTAAATTTTTAAATTAAAAACAACACCTGCCTCAAGACGATCTAAGTTAATTTTTTGGTATAATCATGTTTTTTTGGGAATTTTTTTATGAAAAATATTTTTTTTTCCAAATATAAACAATTATAGAACCCAAATCAATAAAAAAACAATAGTTAATCGAAATAACAATAGACAAAAATTTAAATTCAAAATTTTTCCCAGTAGATGTGGTCTATTAAACAAAAAAATGAAAGATATTCAAATTGATATTTTTATTTTAAAACTAAATAAGTACAAACGTAATTTCAATATATAGATTTCTTCAATCCAAGGTGAAGTTATTTCATTGTTAATAATTTTTAAATCTCAAAAAAATTATTATTCCAATTTTTAGAAAAGATATGATTATACTAAAAAATTAACTTAGATCGTCTTGAGGCACGTGTTGTTTTCAATAAAAAAAAATTCCAGTGTTTTAACATTAAAACGAAGCTTTTTAGGGGGCGTTGCAAAAAAATTAATTTTTAACGACTACCCTAATACATACAAAAAATCTGAACTGATGGTAGAACTTAGGTGCACCCCTTAAAACGACCCTTTACTAAATTTTTGTTAAAAAAATTTAAGTAGAAAATTGTACAATATTAACTACAAACATTTATTCTGTCAAGTTATCCATGAAAAAAACATTGAAATAAAATTAAACTAATAGTAACATGGTACTATTACTATAAGTTTAATTTTATTCCAGTGTTTTTTTCATGGATAACTTGAAAGAATAAATTTACTTAACATTTTTCAACAAAATTTAGTAAAGGGTCGTTTTGAGGGGTGGTGAATCCAGTGCCGTGCTTGGATTTTGTTTAAAAAAGAATAGGAATTCTTAAAAGTTTACTATTAAAAACTGACATAGTAGACCTTGTATTTTAAAATCGCACAATAAATAAAGATTTTACAGGGGTGAGTCGCAAACAAATGGGTCACACTGTATATATCTTATATACAGGGTATCCCAAAACCTACTTGAAAATTAAAATTATCAAAGGATAAGCGAGATAAGAATAAAAAACGATAGCCCATTCCAATACATGGCCATAGAGAATTCTTTAAATTGCTAGGATACTAGGATGCATTATATTATATTAATATTATAATATGTAAAATATTTGGTTGACTGGAATTCACTTCATTGTGACACTGCTGTCAACTTTTGTCCCTGACATTATTTATTGTTTTAAGTTTTGTTTAGGAGTGTGAATTTGTAATGTTCTAATATTGCAAAAGTATAGATAAAAGTCCAGTTTATCCATAATTATAAACTATTTTTTAGTCGCACTTTTAAAAATATACAAAGTAATTAGTCGTAATGTTAAAACATTACGATAAAATCGTATAAAATACCTATTAGAAAATTAATTTTACTGGTTCTGCATTTTATTATAAAACATTTTTTCTTTAAATATTATATGGCTCGCACTATTTGTTTGAATAAAATTTTGTAAAATTAAAATCCAGCTTTTTAAATAATTTAATTAAAACTAATATGCTTACAAAAATGAATTATTATAACTTTCACTAGGGTTTAAAAAAACTTCACAGACTGGCAAGAATCCTAAATATTAGCAAAAAGGTGGCATAAATATTTTTTGCTACTAGCTGTAATTTTTTTAAATGAGTATTTTTCAGTCCTAACACTATAAAATATATTGGTGTTGTAATATTTTATATGAAATAAAAATATTTGTCCAAAAATATGTATGTTATCCACACTCCTGTGAACAAAAAATAAAACAACCTTTTTTCGTTCGATAGGAATGCACAAACAATTTAATTGAGGTATTCATTTGCTGCAATCAAAATCCTATCCTATAGTGACATAACCTGAACAAAAAACATGGAATAAAATTTAGTTTAACTTCTAACACAAAAGTTAATTGACTTTAATTTTAAAGTAAACTATTCTATATTTTTATTAATTTATTTTTTTAATATTTTTATTAAGTGGCATTAAAAAGTTTTACTTATTTTTTACCCCGTACACTACAATTTACCATGTACACTATGATAAAAGCATATTTTTTGAAAAAACAATTTAAATATCGATTTTTGTCCAAAAATCCAATTTTTGTCCGCACTGTAACGAAATTGAAGGTGTTCCTTAACGGAAAATAAAGAAGCCATTTAGCAATTAGTAGGAAGAGCATAAGGGAAGATTTTTAAAAGACGTGCTTAGATTTTGTTTAAAAAATCGCTATTATGAATTCTTAAAAATTTACTATTAAAAACTGACATAGTAGGCCCTACATATTGTAAAAATATGGGGTTTACATACAGTTTATCAAGATCTACAAATTAAAACAAATCCTGTTAAATCCACAATAAATAAAGATTTGACAGGGGTGAGTCGCAAACAAATGGGTCACACTGTATATATACATCTACATATATAAATATATTATATTTATATATTTAGGCATTTCCCTTATAAGTCAGCAAGGAAGCAAATTAATTGTCAATATTTATTTAACGATTTGCGAAACGAAAAGGAAAGTGATACCTTTCGACTAAAATCCAAATGTTTATACATGTATACATATCTCTTAATAAACTTTCTTCTTCACATTGGGATTTATGCATTATTCTTTCTTTTTGATAACATCGCTTTCACTTTTCGAAATTACAACATTAATATTTTTGCTAATTTTGTTGTTAAAGCGTATTTCGCGTGATTAAATTTTATGTTGTTTTAATGTTGATTTTTTATGGGTTTGTCATTTTTACCTAATTATTTATAATTATTTAAAAATATTTTTTAACAATAAATAGAAAACTGTGATAATAAACTATTTCATGTGATGTTTTTTTTACACAAAATTGGTACGCCTCTGACATTTTTCCCTTCAGTATTTTTCCGAGAACCTTTCAAAATATTAAAAAATAACACTATTAATATATATTTTTAAACCCTGTAGTAAAAAGATTAAGCTTTGTAGGACCTTACATTTTCTTTACAAAATGACGCACTAAAATATTAGTAGTTTTTTTTAACACATTTAACAGTTTTTATTATTTATGTCTTCAAAATTATTAAATATAAATTATCCAAATTTGGTATTCATTTATTTTTGCAGAAGGTACACCAAGTATCCTTCTATGAATGGGTATCTTTTTATTTGAAGAGCTCAAAGGTCGGTTAAATTTAAAAAAAGTTGCGTAATAATTTATCGCAGTTCGCAAATATTAAAAAAAACTGAAAACCTGAAAAAACAAAAAAACGTTATTCCAGGAATTTGGAAATAATGCAAGTTTTACATTTAAATATACATTTTTTTCCTATGGCTGCCATATTGCTACTTAAAAACTTAAAAAAAGGAATCCAACGGTGTATCAAACTAAGAGACAGTAAATACAACTGTTGTATTTATTGGAATTTCCGTTAGAATTTCTAACTTGGTAATCTACCGGCTTTAAAATCCAAAATTTTTCTGTGTAAATCAAAATGTATGCCTTAAAAATAGACTAACAACCGATATAAAAGCAGTTTTTCACAGTAAAAGAGAAGACAATGTTTTATGGGCAAAATTTTTAACGCTTTATCAGTACAAACGTTCATATAATCTTTTTAAATATTTATTACGTTTTTATTTTTGTATTGAGATAATAAAATAATTTTCACATTTAGTAAAGTTTTATAATAAAGGCACTAACTTCAGCCGTTGCTAACTTTAGCCCGTGTCTAAAGCGCCATAAAGCCACAACTTGTCAATGTATATTTAAAAGGTCACTTGGTCTCATGAAAACATGTACTATAATGGGCGTTTTAAAGGTGGGACACAGTGGTCTATAGACCTCTTATAAGAGGTAAATCTACGCAGTAACAATTATTCTTTAAATATTTTTCCCACCACGTGACTTTTTTATGTTTCATAATATTATTTCCTTCCTATATAAAATAAATATTTATAGTTCGTTCCAGAGAGAGTGTTATATATATATATATATATATATATATATATATATATATATATAAAGTGTTAAGATGAAGACACCCCCATATTTTCGCTATTTGAAGGAATAAAGGTTTGAATTTTTTCACATTCATACATGTTGATGGGTCACATTTTTTAAGCTACTCAACTGAAATCTGAACTTTAAACTTGGTCTACTACAAATTCACAAACAGGGCCAGTTCTCGATATTTTGCTTCGCGTTAGATATATCGAAAAAAGTTATTAGAAAAAGTTGTTCAGAATATTATTCTAACCCCATAAACCAATTTTTATAACAAAATTTGCATTTTTAATTTTTTTTTGGTCCACACAAAATTATTACAAGTTAATTTTTTAGTTTGATAATAAGGGAGCCATGGAAAGTAATAATTTGATACTAACTAGTGTTTATGACCGTTAAATAAATAGTTAAAACAATTTTTGAAAATTACAAATCAATTATAATTTATTAAATTAAGGAAATGGTATAAAACAATAATAAAACTAATAAAAATAAATAAATTAGAAATGCGAATTTTGCTATGAAAATCGGTATACGGGGTTAGAATAATATTCTGAACTACTTTTTCTAATAATTTTTTTCGATATTTCTAACGCGAAGCAAAATATCGACAACTGGCCCAGTATGTGAATTCGTAGTAGGCCAAGTTTAAAGTTCAGATTTCAGTTGAGTATCTTAAAAAATGTGACCCACGAACATGTATGAATGTGAAAAAATTCAAATCTCTATTCCTTGAAATAGCGAAAATATGGGGGTGTCTTCATCTTAAATGCGACACACTGTATATACACCATATATATATATAGTTTTTAAGAAAAATGTTTTTTTTCGTAACATAATAAAAAAGTTTTTTCCATTTTCAACCCGATCCGTGGACACACTGTATAATATACAAAGTATATTAAAAAACAATATTATGTTATAGAAGTAGAAAAAAATATTACCATTTTTAAATACAATATTATTTATCAAACTTTAAAAATTCCAAAAAAGACATTTTAAAGTTGTATTTGTACTTTGTCCGCACTATCTTTTTAACACTATTTTTCACAATTATGTTAACGCAACACCCTTTTTTAACGCATGCGCAGTTACTTTTACTTAGGTAATAATCCCTGGTGGAAATTTTTTTCTGAAAAAGTTTTTATGAGTAAAAGTAAGAGTTTTGAAAGTCTTAATTTCTCTTAAAAACTCTGAATAAGACTTATTAAGTCGGAAAAAGTCAGAATAAGACTTATTAAGTCGAATAAGCCTTATTAAGTCGGAAAAAGTCTGAATAAGTCTGGGTAAGTCAGACTAATAGCAAGATTTGGGGTCTTTTGGAAAAGTTAAGACTTAAGACTTAATAAGCCTTTTTGCAGAGAAATGGTAGGTATACATACATATATAGCGATTAAAATAAATATCCGTTTTATTTGGTTATTGCAAAAGAAAACACAAAGAAAAGTATTTATATACAATGTTTTTGTGTTGTTATAAGGCTTATAAAAACACGTAAGCAATGTTTACAATATGGGTAAGCAACGTTTTTATTACAACAAAACAGTTAACTAAGACATACGTTTGGTTGACTAATTTCATAGTTATTAGTGGCTGCTTTTTCACTTGTACCATGGTTAACCATGGAATACCATGGTATCCCAAAATCTAATAGCCAATTCTTATATAAAATTGTCCCCTGAATCTGAAAATACTGTCAAAAATTATGAAAGTGGAGCAGTTTTTAGGATATAGTCAATTTCATATTAAATGGAAAATTGCTTATAGCACAATAACTGTTCTACCTTTTTAACTTTAAACATGTTTGGATTCAGGGGACAATTTTACATAAGAATTGGCTGTTAAACTTTGGAATACCATGGTATCCCATGGTTAACCATAGTACAAGTGAAAAAATAGCCACTAATAACTATTAAATTAGTCATTTTTGACTAATTCATTTTTAGAGAGTACAAATCCCTTGTTGATTACCTACATAAGGTATAATAACTATAAGAATTCTTCGCAACAACATATAAAACAAATATCTTCGAGCTGGTTTCATTGTTTGATGGAACGTACAGAGTTGCTGGATAAAAGTTCCTCACCAAAAATTACAAAATACTAAAAAAACTATTTATATTTTAAATTTACTAGCGCATTCTCCATGTTTTAAAAATAAATTTTTACCCGCTTCAAAATTCTACCCCCATTACGCAAATACCCGATTTTAGAGTAAACGGCAACACTGGCGGACTGACAGAAGATGCAATTCCATGATGTGCTCTAATTGCTCAGCTGAGAAAATCGGTAGGGCGTCTAGAACACGTGTTATTGTTTTTAGAAAAATTGTTTGGAACAATGGTTAAATGAATATTTGCGCATATAAAAAGAAAATATTAAAATAAAACGTACAGCGGCAACAATGAAAGCAAGTCAAGTGCATCGTATATTATAATTGTTATAATTATTACACCTTACAACATTTTTGCTGTGTTGTTATAAGCCAAGTTTATTGCATAATTACCCATATAATAACATATTATGTTATTATATGGGTAATTATGCAATAAACTTGGCTTATAACAACACAGCAAAAATGTTGTGTTTTATTTTACAATAACCAAATACAACCTCTATGAATTATTTTTCTACTTAAAGTCTTATTAACTCTTCCAGAAGACTCCCAAATCTTACTATTAGTCTGACTTACTAAGACTTAATAAGTCTTATTTAGAGTTTTTAAGAGTAAGTAAGATTTTTACTTATTAAAACTTTTTCAGAGAAAAATTCCCACAAGGGATCTGTCAAGAACAATGAAGACGCATCAAAATGCGTTTTTACAGTGTTTTCAAAATTGGGTTTTTGCCGCGTAAATTCACCTCTCACCTTAACACCTATGGTTCTGCAAATTCTGCCTGTTTCAGGTGCACCCGTTCTTCAAGTTCACCCCGCAAGCCGACCGCTTCGACGTCGCAGTCCTCCGCCTGGACCGCACCGCCCACAACCTGCCCCACATCACGCCCATCTGCCTGCCCCCGCGCGGCGAGGCCTTCCTGGGCGAGGTGGGCACGGCGGCGGGCTGGGGGGCCCTCAGCCCGGGCTCCCGGCTGCGCCCGCAGACCCTCCAAGCCGTCCAAGTGCCCGTCATCGACAACAGGGTGTGCGAACGTTGGCACCGGTCCAAAGGCATCGGAGTGACTATTTACGACGAGATGATGTGCGCGGGTTACAAAAACGGCGGCAGGGACAGTTGCCAGGGGGACTCGGGGGGCCCCCTCATGCTCCAAAAATCGAACAGGTGGTTTTTGATTGGGATCGTGTCGGCTGGGTACTCCTGCGCCCAGCCGGGGCAACCTGGGATCTATCATCGCGTCGCCCATACGGTCGATTGGATCAACAGAGCCATAGGGTCGTAGAAGTTGTAGGGTTTTTAATGAATTTGCGCGATTGTGTCTAAAAATCATTTTATCATATAACATTCCTATTATAAAATTCACTGTTTCCTTTTCATTATTATACTTTTGACTTAAATTAATATTTCCCTCCTCTCAAAGGTATGTTTTTTACCAATAAAAACTGCTTTATACGACTTTAACCTTCTTTCTTTTAGCTCTTTATTAAATTCTCTATATAATGAGCCTTTCATATCAAATCAACCAAAAAAGGTAACTTTTGTTTCTCAGGAACTACTTATCATAGAGCATTGAATTAAGGTTTATTAATCTGGTTTTGTTACCTTTAACTATAAAAGCTCTTGGTGGTTATCTTGGATAATTGGAAAGAAAAGTATTAGAAAATTAAAGTTTTTTACATCCAATTGGACCAGCAAATTATTATTATCAAAAACCTAAGGCAGATATATTGATAATTCATAAAGGTACAACATTGAGGAAAGTTCAGCCTGTTACTGGTACTATGCTCCACACCTCAAAGTCCCACCACGTGACCACGTACGGAACGCAGTCTTTTGAAAATTTGGCATTTAAGGCTTTTCAGGTTATGTATCTGTCAAAGTATAGTCAATGAAAGAAATAATATTTATAGTGTTACCGCTTATGTTTAAGCGTTAAAAGTTAATAAATCTTTTTAGTATCACAGTAACAATGGTTGGTTTAATAATTTAGGAATAAAATAAATACTGCATTTAATGAAATTCCAAAGTGTAAGTTGCAATATAAGTAATATTTATGTGCATTGGGTCTACATTTCTCCATAAAATAGTTTTAACTAAACAGCATTTATTAAAAAAAATCTAACTTCTCTATTATGAAATAAGAATATCTGTATCAAACGTAGGTTTATGTATTAGAACAAAAAATATCATCTAATTTTGTATTTTAAGGTTAGAAAAATCTATTTTGACCAAAATAAATAAGTGGATTATTTGAAAGAGTGTGTTAATATGGTCATAAATAAATATAGGTATACCAAATAATTGTTGAATATAGTTCAAATTAAATTGAAGCTTTTATACTTCTAACGACAAAACTTGTGCATACCTTTCGGCATACTTACTTTAAGTTAGATTATAAGAATACAAACAATTTTTAGAGAAACTTGCAATGTGAAAATAAGTTATAATGATTTTTTGATGTAGATCAAATTCAGTCGAAGCTTTTTAACTATTTGTATTGACAAAACTTTATGTAGGTACACTTTAAGCTGGATAAGAAAAACTACCACATTTTTTAATACCATATTATACAGTCTTTTAAATAATCTAAAATACTTATTTATTTTGTTTAAAATAAATTTTTCTAACCATAAATTTACAAAATTAGATGATATATTTGTTATAATATATTAACCTACCTTTAATACAGATATTCTTATTTCATAATAGAGAAGCTGGATTTTTTTAAATAAATGCTGTTTAGACAAAATTATTTTATGGAGAAAACTAGATATTTGGATCAAATGCACAAAAATATTACTTATTTGGCACCATACACTTTAGAATTTCATTAAATGCAGTATTTATATTCTTAAATTCTTAAACCATCCATTGTTATTCTAATGTTATAAAGATTTATACATTTTTAATGCCTAAACATAATATTATTTCTTTCGTTGACTATACTTTGAAAAGCCTTAAATGACAAATTTTCAAAAGACTGCGTTCCGTACGTGGTCACGTGGTGGGACTTTGAGGTGTTAAGCATAGTACATATCAAACTTATACTTTAACCAAAGAAAAAATGTTGGAATCTTTAAAAATTAACACAAAAAATAAAGTTATTTTTATTTGTTTTTTACCTTATCTATTTTTTTGTTGTAGCTTTAAGTTAATGTATTCATAATATGTTCTATTTTAAAAATAAAACCGTTATTTTTGCTATGTAATTTTTTACAACTAATACATCAATTCTCCATTCTAAATTTTGGTATATATGTTGCTAAAACATTGAGAAAAAGAATATATTTTTGACAAAAATTTTAAGAAAAAGTATATCATGGTATACATCATCTGAAAGGGCTTCAAAATACCTTTAAAACAAGCTATTACTTAATGCTCTGAGATATATATGTTGTCTGTTGTATCTGCAGATGCAAATTGATTTTCAAAAATCTATAAAAGAAAAACTACTGTTCAAATTTTGTTTAAATATTGGTTTTTCGAGTTTTTCGAGCAACTGTACCAAAATTCATCAAATTCGAAGATGCTGCCTTCAAAACCTTTGTTTGATTTGATATAAAGTTACCCCTTATTCTTTCGTTATTTCTTAAGAGCATAAAACATTTTAACATCATTGTAAATACGCTCGTTATTATATATTCTTTCTCCCTCATTCTAGTTCTTTTTTCTGTGTTATATTTCGTTATTTTTTTATTTATTTTTATTTTATATTAGCATGAACTGATTCATAATTTAAACATAAGATATTTATGTGAAACGTTGTATAGTTTAATATGCAAATTGTTTTGGTAATACCTCGAAATTTTGCTCCGGTGTTGAAGTATTAATTTTGTGATTTCAGTTGTATTGTAAAAATATATAAATTTAATTTAAATTAAATTATTATTTTTTGTTGTGTAGTAAGCAGAAATGCTCTGTTATAGGTATTTATAAAAATAAAATTTATTTTTAAGTATTTTTTTTTAATTATGTTTTTAACCTTACCTTACCTTACATTTTAGTACATTAACCTAGGTATTTATAAATAAAAACATTATTACATACACTATTTCAACACTGGTCAGTACAAACAAAAAATAAAACAGAAACAATAAAACAATAATGTAGGTACTATTTAAAAGAAACTAAGAATATTTATTATATATATATAATAAATTACTAATGTAATTTGTTATACAAAATAACAATATTTGTATTGTAATATTGCGAAACAAATTTTCTTCATTTCAGTAAAATTGTAAAATATATTTTGTAATTTTCTTAAACTGAGTTAAAATGAATCGTATAGTATAATTACTAAAGATGGGATATTTAGGTACTAAAAACTGAAAAATAGTTAACTAAAAAGGTACTAAAAAAAGCATTGTAGGTTAAAAAACCAGCATTTTAGGTAAAAAAAACATTAAAAGTTCAAGTTTCGTTTATTTTTATCACAGATTTTTATTTTTATAAAATAACATAATATATTTTTTTTATAAACTGACCAATAGTTAATTAAAGCTATAAGGAACTGGATAAAATATTGGCGCAAAATTTAAAAAGAACACAAAAATATAAAATAAGTAAAAATACGTAAAAATAGGTAACAAACAGTTAAAAATAAACTAACAAATTAAAAAATAGGTATCAAAAGTATAAAAAGGCAGTTTAAAGCAAAAACCTCCAAAAAAGGTAAAAAAGGTGAAAACAATTTAAAAAAATAGGTAACAAAAGTGTAAAAAAGGTAGTTTAAGGCAAAAACCTCCAAAAAAGGTAAAAAAGGTGAAAACAAGTTAGGTTCATATAAAAGAAAATCTTTTAAAACACATTTTGGCATTATTGGTTTTCAAATAGTTACATCGGTTGAAAAAAAGGTAAAATAACTAAAATCCCATCCCTAATAATTACAATATAACATTTTAAAATTACTAAACTTATTTAGGTTTTTTTTAGCAAAATCACAATACCTGTATAGTAATGTTACTGAACAAATTTTTAATAAATGCTTAGTGAATTTCAATAAACGTTTTGTAATTTCCCAAATTGAGTTGTATATGGTGGTGCGTAAAAACTTCCTAAACATGTTTAGTAAAATTACAATAGAAATGTTGCCAAAACCGGTATACGCACTTTACTACTACTACCACTTCCAAGTAATACTTAAGTGATGTTTGGTTACCGTTATTCATAATCTACTTTAAAGTTTAGACAACTTTAAGGTGGTGTCAAAAGTTGTTACCACATTTAAGATACCATACTGATACACCAAAAAGTTATAAAACTATAAGGAATATTCTGTTGGTGCAAATCACATGATTACAACTATGCTAATATAATATGAAGATATTTTAACTGCAGATTTAGTTATTTTAACGTAATTCCACTCATTTGAAGTTGCGATATCAGTTTTTTTTAATATAATAATCGGTTAACTACTTGAAAATAAATGCTTGCATGTCAAATTCACAATATCGCCAAAACAAATCTGTTATTTTTGTATTCAGCGATCTCAAAAAGTAGTTGATGAAATTTAAAAAAGCCGATAAAACTGCAATAGATTAGGAAATATTGTATCACAAAAAACCAAAATAAATAAGCCATTGAACAAGTCATTGCCTTCAATCGCATTTACAACGAACTGTATCAAACATGACCAAACTGTAAACAAAACTAAAACTAAACCATATAAAATATTTTTTTTAACCTCACCAAACACATCACATCAAAATGTACAGAAAAATGTTGCTCAAACTTTTGATCATTTTTGTACTTTCCGTTTTACAATGGAAATATATTTCCTGCCAAGTTCAATACCAAGCACAAACTACACAGCAACAATACGCTTATGATCAAAGCGTATCTGTAAGTATTGTTTTTTTAAAATAATGTATTTTATTTAACTTCATATTTCTTCCAGGCTCCTCGTACCTGTGTTAGCAGTCAGAACAAACAAAACTGCAGAAACTTGGCCTACTCATCTGGAAGTCCAGCTTCCGATTATTGTGCTTCTCCACAAGGAGCAGGTTTATCTTACATTGAGAAAAAAATCTTGGATCAATACAGCGAGGTTAGCAACAATGGTGGATGTCCAGGTGGTAATTGTCAAAGTTGTGTTGGTTGTTCCAGAAAATCCAGGCTGTTAAATGTTCAAGAAAAACTTAAACAGTTTAAAGCCAATTTAAGAAGGCCATGCGCCAAGTGTCCAACCTGTGGTTGTTGAAAAAAATAAATTTATTGTAATTTATTGTAATTAATTTAAACTAATATTTTAAGACATATTTATTGGGAAATAAACACCTACAAAATTTGATGATGAGCATTATTCTGTTTAAAATTAATTAGTTATACAAATAATTCATTGTATACATAATATGTATATATGCAACCCAGAAAACAAATACACCAAACAAAGTTCATTCACTCATGGCCGTTATGTCGATAGGAATTTTCTCGTACTATGCTTTACACCCAAAAGTCCCTCCTTGACATTAAATTATTTTTAGAAAATAAGACGAAATTAGCGTTAAACCGAGATAGATAACCTCAATTATTTTTATTTAAATGTCAAGGTTGTCTGTCCAGGGTGGTCTGTTCCCTAGGGTCTGTTCTATGAAAAACACAGACCACTTTATAAGGTAATAGAAAAAACCACCGTAAGAAAATTTTCAAAAAATCTTATTGTTTTTAATTTTGTGGGTTTGTAATATTTATGTTTAATTTGTTTATTTGTTATTTGTAAAACACGACATAGTGTATTATATAATATGTAAAGTTTTGGTTGGTAAATACGTTGTCAAGTTGGTCGCATTGATTAAAACAAACTAAGCTAGTTATAAATCTAATTGTGGTTATGTATAAATTATTGTAGGTTACATTGTGCAGTTGTCAAGTTGAGTTGTCGAAATTCGTAGTTAAAAATGCAATTAATTTGGTTTTGGTGGTGCTTGGATGAGTAAAGTCATATAAAAAAAGTAGTTAAATATGGGTTGCTTTACGGCCCAGAAGAGAAAGTATTCCTAGCGGATAATAATCTTCGCTTTGAAAAGAATTTATATAAAAGAAATTAAAATTTTTTGTGAACGTAAATGTTGTCCAATGGTGAATAATGTGAAAATAATGTGTGATGTAATATTTATAAAACCAAATTCGTAACTTTTTTACTCCCAAAATGTCCATAAGGCGATGTACATTTTCTTCCATTGTGGCATTTGGCATAATTTCATCAAAATGAAGTTTTGCCCTTAAAAGGGATTTTACATTCGAATTCGTTGCTATTATTTTTGGCATAATTATCTTTTTATTTATAATTGACAAGTAAATTATCAATTATAAATGTCAAAGTATTTAATTAAATTCTTTAGCAGAAGTACCATTTTTCAATACTAAAAATACTAAGTCAAACTGGCGTAAGCCACCAACCTAACAAAAAAACACGAGTCCAGATAAAAGTTTGATAAACGCCATTTTATTCATAAAATTACTTTCTAGAAACGTTTATAAACTAGTTGTATAATAAACTTTTTTACGACAAATATTAAGTATAAACAATAATGTACCTATAACTTACTAATTTATTTAAATATTTCTATAGAGCGGCATCTATACAAAATTTGAGTAACCTGTAAATCTGTTTTACCTGGTTTTAAAATGACAGTGTTTGTTGTCAAAATTTTCTGTAAACATTAAACTTTATTTCTTAAAATGGACTAACAACCGTTTAGATATAGAAGCAGTTTTCTACAGTGAAAGTGAAGAGGATGTGTTATGCGTACATTTTGACGATTGTATTACATTTGATAACTGTCAACTAAGTAAAAGCTAACTTCAGCCCTTGACTAAAAACCTGTTGCTAACTGTTTTTTGATAATTATAATTAATAATACAAATTTTGTACTATTACTAAGTAATGGCTAAATTTATGACAGATTACAAATACAATTACAAGTTTTAATTACTATTTTCTCTTTATTAAAAAAAACCAAAATTATATTTCATATTAAAATTTGTGATATTCTATATTTAAGTTATAGCAAAAATTACCCTTTTAAAATTTTATTTTGTTTATTTTACATTTTACTCATTTATTTATTTAATACACGATGTGTATACACTATAATTCATATTAAACATAAAATAAATTCAATATTTAACTTTTAAATTGCATTTTTACCTCGTTACAATTTCAATCAACGTTTTAATTTAGTTTAGCTATTTCATCCATGAATTGATTAAAACATGTTTGTATTTAAAATACAGTTTTTGAATTTGAAAAATGCAGTTTGGTTAATCGATATTTTTTTATTCAAATATTAAAAAAATTAATTATAAATGTTGTATTAAAGTCGTAATGTATTTAAGTTAAAATTCGTTTTTTTATGTTAAGTTGTAATTCATAAGACAGTTTTTTTATTATTAATTTTAATACATAGATTTTAGGGTATTTACTGTTATTTTGGTTTACGGAATATATTTTTAATTTTGTATCTTCATCCAACGCCCATCTATAGGGACGTTTATTTAGAGTAATTTTAGAGCATTTCAGTTTTAATTTTTTTTTTTAATTTAAAATATTTGAAGATTTTGAAAATAACGGAAATTAAAAAAAATGTTTTTCAAACCCTTTAATTTTATACAATTTTTTTTACTATACTATATTATACTTGCACCAAAAGTGTGTTTAAAATTTCAGCTCAATCGTTTGTATTAGGTTAAAATCGACCTAGATTTGTGGATATTTGGTAGTAAATAAATGTGAACCACCTCTACGACTTTATGTTTTTTTTGTACTTAAAATCAATTAAAATCTATTTTTGATAGCAGTATTTACAGCACTTTATACTCTCCTAATGATTTAGAGGCATATTCTCTTTCTTGCTGTTCATAAACATTGATAATATAAACAAATAATAATAGGGTAAGTCATTTAATAATAATAATAGGGTAAGTCATTTAACTTGAAATTTTGAAATATCTCAGTTAGTGTGCATTTTACGAAAAAATATTTAAAATAAAAATGAAATGATTCGAGGTTGGAAATCAATCAATAATAAAATTAGTCCTCATACTCTCCTCCTTATGGGGGGAACAGGGGGTAACTTTAAAATTTCCAATGGAACATCCTATTTTATATTGCAGATTCGCATCATTCGACTAAAAATAGGTAGATTTTGTCTAAAATATTTTTTTATATTTGTAATAGATGGCGCTGTAATGAAAAAAATCAATTTTGTTTGATTTTTTTTGTGTATACGATTCTGCAATAATTTTTCTATAAAAATATCACTTTTTTGGTAATAATTTAAGGTAAAAAAAACATTATTTTGTCAATTAGGTAATTTATTCCTAGTTGAGGTATTAATAAATGGTATTTAGTTATAAATAATAAGTATTATTGAGGTATAAAAAATCTATTTATATTTAACATTATTTAATCAATTTAGTTCGAAGATTAATTTGCAAACAAAAAGACCTCTTTTTGTTAAGCAGTTATTCATAATGGTTTTTTTTAACAGTGGAGGAAAAAGTAGAAATGATTTTTATTTATGGAGAAGCAGGCAGGAATCTTGATGATGCTGTTAATATCTACGCTCAGCGTTTTCCGGATAAAATTCGATCACGTACTTCATTTAACCGTACAGTCAAGCAGTTTACTACAAACGGGAGTGATCAACCGAAAAAAAGAGTTTGTCGAGCAACAGACACAGGTGAAAATAATGAAATTAATGTATTAGCAGCAACGGCCGCTAATCCTCATGCAAGCACACGAGAAATATTTAGAGATTTGGGAATATCCCAGAGCAGTGTTAGCAGAATATTAAAACGAAATGCGAATTAATAAATGCATTGAAGTCGAAGGCCACCATTTAGCACCTTCTTTAATTAAAATTTAAAAAATAAAAGCAAGTATTGTATTCAAAAATTATTGGAGATCGTATACAGAAGAAAAAACGAACAAAATTGATTTATTTTCATTACAGCGCCATCTATACAAATATAAAAAAATGTTATAGACAAAATCTACCTATTTTTATATTAAACATTTTTTCGTAAAATGATAATAACTGAGATATTTCAAAGTTTCAAAATAAATTGACGCGTTTCTCGGAAAAACATCATTAGTCCAAAATTAACATATTTGGGAAAATGAAAAAAACTCTCCGATATTCCCATTTTTGACCAAAGTATTTTATTAACCTATTTACTACATGTAAAAAAATGTAAGATACTTTGTCCAGAATTCCTCATGTTTTTTTTTCGACGAATATGAAAAAAACACAAAAAATACATGAACATGTGAGGTTTTTAGAAGAAAAAAACGAATAATTCTCCTTACTACAAACACTACAAACTAAATATTAACTCTTAGTAACAAAATAAATGAAAAAACTAAAAACTGTATTACTGCCACACTCAGTCTTCGCATCCACTACTGTTATCATCGTTGTCGACCGTGTTTCAGGACTGTCAGGTGCTATGGTCTTCTGGTCTTTTATCAAGTTATCATAAAATTTTCTATTGCTGTGGTCAGGTAGAAGCTTTTCTAGAGTGTCCAAAAACGTCACATGTTATGCACATGTGACTTTCTTAGACGAAACGGAGTGGACTTGTGATGTTTTTAGAAAAACAAGCTAAATTTCATATTTAATTATTATGGAACCTATCACATTTTTACGAGAAACACTTATTTGTATACGTATATATGGAGGTTAGGAAACAGTTGGTGCTAATATCTAAATTTCGACGATATTGGACTAATGATGTTTTTCCGAGAAACGCCTCAATTACTCACCCTGTATAATAAAAGATTGTTTTATGAAATACAAGACAACAAAAATGATAATAGTATTTTAAATATGAACTATACAAAATAAAATGTTAACTAACTTAAGAATTCCATTAATATTTCAATGTACTGTTAATTTAATGAGACAGTAATACAAATAATAATCCGACAATACCGTTACGACCAGCTAACAATTCGACAGATCGACACCATGAAGCCTTCACACCAATTACCTAACCAAATTTTGCATTTATTCGGAACCACTTCTCGGCTCTTTCCATAACCATAAACAAAACTTCGAAACCATCGCACACCACGACCGAACAAATGTGGGTCACTTTCTGACTGGTGCCGTTACCGATGGTAACCATCATTCTTTTACTGTTACTGCTGCTGTTAACATCTCCAGCAGTAAAAACGTAAACCAAAATTTTGAATCGAAATTCGTCGCAGTCGGTAAAACTTAAAATGTGAGGAGTCGCCAAAAGTGTCGGTTGGTGTTAAAATGACGGAGAGATGCGCACACTTCTCATCGTTTTGCTGCTCTACAACGTCGAAGTCATTGTTTGTTTTTCCAGGTACGGGCAGGGGTATTTCGGAAGGGCTTCTAATGGCGCGGAAAGTGACGATTTGAACGTGCTTCGTAAAGGTGTCAGTGTTACAGGTTGGTGTTTTCCTTTTGCTCATACAAGTACATCGGATGCATTTTTAGTCTGTAGAAAGTTCAATTCTAATTTGGACAGATGGTAAACTGGATAAACTGGGAATTTTCAATTGTGCAAGTACATGTATGCACCGACTACTTATAGCTCATGTTAAAACAGTAAAAATAAGAAAATAAAAAAAAATATTGATATCAAAATTCTTTGATTTGAATTAGTACCATCATTTTTTACTAATAAAATAGTCGTTTCCACTTTTAAATAATAATTAACTTTAAAATATTATGAACAATATTTATTGACAAATAAAATTTATTTTTATAAGAGTGACTGATAGCCACATTGCAATGGTTATGACAACAGCTTGACAAGCTTGACATGTGACAGACCCGGCTGGGTCAAAATTTTTATAATTTAAATCTACTAATTTGACTATTTCATCCAGTAGAATTTAACTAATTATTCGTGACTGCTTTTTCCCTATGACAATTAATCAAATATGACTTATAATTAGTTATGTTTGACTAATTCATTTTAAGAGAGTAAATAAATTAAGTATTACCTATTTATGCGTAGATTATATGTATAGTTTATAATGATAATGAATTGTTTGTTTTTAAAGGTTTAGATGGATTTGAATATATGCAATAAAAATAACACAAAACTGCAATGCCATTTCTATTTTTTTGTTGTTGATGGGTGTTTTTGAGAGGAAATCCTGGGTTGAGTTTTTACCGGTTTCCCAATAAACAGTGGAAATCCGAATGAAGAACTAAATTGCATACAGTCCCTGTAAATATAAATTGTACCTTTTAGATACAACAAATACACATTTTAGTGAAAATTGTAAACATTTCAATTCAGTAAAAATCATAAAACAAATATGTCGTCTAAATTCAAACAGCATTTAGCATTATTAAAAGCGTTGATTAAGAAAGTCTCCATTCAACAGTAAAATACCAAGAACCGGTATTATATTATGTATTATACAGTATGTCAAAGGGCTCAAGAAGACAAAAGATATATATTTAGTATATTTTGTAGTTTAAAATGCAGTTTTTGGCGTTTTTTTAGAGGACTCAAATAAAAAATATTCTATTTTAAGGTTATGTTTGGATAACAATTATTTTTTGTTGGATGTCCAAACTTAAATATAAATTATATTAGGTAAAATTATCATTAGTTAATTCTGCACCAACAAATATACGTACCCTATTGGCAAAACATGAAAATGCAACGATTTAGTTCTTAAATTTTATTTACAATTAAAAACACAATAATTTACCAATATCACTTAGATAAAATACACACACTAACGTGACTATATATATAAGCATATACGCGTTGTGCAATTGAACAAAAGTTGCCTTCCTTTATTTTGTGAAAAAACCACTTATTTATTTAAAAATGATATACGCACTGCTATAAATGTATTGTTGACAATTCTTGAATTCACACAATGCTATCGAACACCACCAGATGGCGCGCGCTTCTTTAGCGTATTGTGGATTTTATCTGGTAATAAAATTTAAATTCCGTTTTGTGTTCGTCGTAGATGAATAATAATATTCAACTCGGTTATTTATAAACTTCTCTAGATACTAGTTTTTATTAAACACTCGCTCGCAAGCTTCGCTCGTGCTTAATTAAACTTGTAACTAAAATGGCGTTTATAAAACTTGATGTCTAATATACTACTTTAGTTTCTTTAAAAAAATATGAAAACAATTTTTAATTAAAACTTTTAACAGGTTTGTTTTAAAGTAAATTTTTAAGACATTTTTAAAAATAATTTATTATTTTTAATGCAAGGGAAAGTATATAATTACAGCATAATTTAAAATATAAAAAGCAAAACCTTTTTCGTGTTTGTAAAATTAAAGTTATTATAATAATAGTTCCATTACCTACTTAACTACGCAAAAACTACAAATTATAATAAAGTTTGGATATGGTTTTACATTCAAATTGTTAAAAAAATTTAAATACTTTTAAACCCCTTAAGTATCTAAATAATAAAAAAACTCAATTTAATTTGTTCACTCTTTGTCAGTCATACATCCTATAATATTAATAATTTAAAAATTAGCCACTTTTAATAAACAATATAACCAATTAATAAATCTAGTATATTAGAGAAAAGTCTATTATATAATAAAATTTGAAAACTTGAAAATAAACAGCGGTTCTTAAAATATTTAAAAAACTAAAAACCCATTAAGTTTTTAGTTTTTTAAATATTTTAAGAACCGCTGTTTATTTTCAAGTTTTCAAATTTTATTATATGATAGACTTTTCTCTAATATACTATATAATATACTATAGTTATTTCTGGGAATTTTGAAAAAAGTTTTACATGTAAACATACACACTAATCTACATTTTCATCCAATTTCAATTGTTTAAAATTTTTCATGACCGCAGATTTTTTTATCAATTTTCTAATGCCATTTAATTGACTTGTATAAAAGCAAATTTTCTCTAACTTAACTAACCTTGTAGATCTTTAAATAAAAAAAACATACTTATACATGGATGGATATTTAGTGCACCCTGTATAGCTTTTGTTATTTGGTTATATTAAAATTTAACCCCTGTATGCGTATATTTTCATATTTAAACACTCGTATGACTATCAGAAAACAGTTTGGACCAATACAAAAATTCGACTGTTGTCAGATCCAATCCAACCTTACTTTTTACTTTCAATAATAATTGTAATTTTACATTCAATTCAAGTATAAAATTATAACTGAAGATTTATGCTATGCGGCTTCGCTCAATTGTAGCCTCCGCTAGGCGTCGGCATTAAAACTTTAAGCTCAGCACAAAAAGACCCACTTCTCAGCCTTATGACATATACATATAACTATTACTACACATAAGTGAATAAATATAAGAAGTTATTAAGTCAAAATAACAGCCTGGCAAAAATAGATAATGACTTTTTTAATTACAAATCCTTTAGGTGTATTTTATCTAGCCCAATTTGTGTTTTTTTGTATATTTTATATTTTATTTTGGTTTAAAACTTTTTTTATTTACAAATTTGTAAAAAATAGGTAAGTATTATTATTGACTATGGATAAATGTCTTGGAAAAATAATTAAAAAACTAATCGATGTCACATTTTTTTTATAAATAATAATAATATAATCAATTAATTATTATCATTATTATTATTTTTCTACTATTTTCTACTTTTTTACATTTTTAAATTCTAATACTGATTTTATTAATTACAATTATTATTAATTCATTATTATTAATTTATTATTATTAAATAATCGTTTTTTAATGATAAACAGTAAAAACTAATTCTTAATTTTAACCAAATATTAACCAGATTTTATGTTAATCCAGGTCCACATAACTTTATGTTAAGTTTACAACCAACTGTAATCAACCATAATTCTTGTAATTTTTAAAAAGGACCTTAATATTACAAACCTTTTTGTATACCCAGTAATAAAAGTATTTGTTGGAAATTGGGAAATTAAATGAAAAGAATTTTCATAATAAATGTTGCTTTATTAATTAATTTCCTAAACAAAAAATTAACACATATAAAAATGAACACAAAAATAACATACTTAAACCCATTCTGAAATTATTAAATTATAAAGAAATTGGGTACAATATAATTATCAGTACTTCGCACTTTGCACACTCGGGAATCCGAATAACAATAAAAACAGATTTTTGGTAATATATTATAACACTTTAAACACGTTACGAATTAGAATAAAGTAAGCAGAAACATAAGTTGCAGACGCTGAAGTCAGTTGAGGTTTTTAATGCGTATTCTCAGTGCGAAATGTTTTGATTGGCTGCCAGAAATTACGTGTACTTTTTTTAGTAAGTAATTTGTTAAACATCAACAAAATGCTTACAAAACTTTTGGTCATATATTTTCCTTTGTTAAAATAATTACAAACCCTGGTTTTTATTCAAAAATTATGTTAAAATTTTACAAAATAAAATAAAATTAACAAACTACAAACTCATGTTAACAAATCTTATTTTTATAACAGTGCATTCTATATAATCGAATTACAAGTTTAAGGGTTTTTAGAGCGAATTAATATAAAATGAATTTTGTGTAGCATAATTTTTCTTGTCGCTTTTAGGGCGCGTGTTCGTCACGATGTTCGGCTACCCATCGAAATGTGAGAGCAAAGGCAAATCTCATTCTTGCACGTTGTCTTTTGCCTGTTGGCTCGTGGGTGGCTCGAGTCGATCCGGATGCGGCGCTAGTCCCTGGATCGTAGCATGCTGTGATACGTCTTCCAAAAACAATCACTTCCCCGGAAACGAACACCTAATGGAAAACGAAATAGAATACAAGGCGGAATTAAAGAAAAACAAGTAAGCCAGACATGGATTTTATGGTTTGGTCTGTATAGCAGCATTTAAACGAGGACAAAAAAGTTTTAATCATATTTTGAAGTAATTTTAATATTTTAAAGTATCAATAATTATTAATTTTAAATAATTTTTTAGATACTATTATATATAGATAAATTGAGATAATTGATTTTGGTATTTTAAATTCTAGATTTGTAATTTTTTTTATATATTATATTGAAATATGGTTGTTGTTAGTCTAGAAGCAAACTACAAGATATCCAGGATGCATAGTATAGGTGAAATCTATAATTATAAATTGGAGATTGCTAACTTTGATATGAATTGCTGGAGATTGCTCATTTTGTTGTAAACGTTTAAGGAGATTTAAAAAAATAAACAAAAAAAAATAATTCTATTTTTTTCCTTTAATGGTTGTGGGAAAATTCTGAACTGGACCACATAAATCTGGAGTTTCTTCTAAATCTGGGACCAGGTTGCCTCGTGCAAAAAAGTTTTTAAAGTAGAACAACTCATCATCTTCTTCCCACTTTGCCCCGTAATGTTTTACTTGAAATGTTTTGACATTTTCAGCCTTTTCTTGCTTTACCTTTACGTCTTATTATGGTATAATAGCACAAAATAAACAAGATAACTTTTTTTATAATTCTTAAAACAATAAAATGTATATATACCTATTTTAAATACATTTTTAAGTGCAATTTACTGCAATAGAACTTAACAGTATGTACCAGTAAAAAAACACAAAATTAAATCTCTGAAATACATTATAAGATCAAATGTTAGGATATCAGGTGACACAAATTACTAATTTCTAATGGTGGAATTGGAGATTGTATACTTTGCTGCAAATCTATCAGTGGAGATTGTCGACTTTGCACTAAATGTCATTTTTAAAATAGGATTTTAGGCAGGATTTAGCTCCTTTTGCAGCACATAAACTTTATCATCTTATAGATAATTATAATTAGTCTCCGCCAAAAATCTAATTTTTAACCAAAAGTGGAGATTGTCGGTTTTGCTATGACAGGCCTCATATGCAACTCGTTTATAAACTTTTTTGGGCACTCATTTAATTAAGCACTCGCTTGCAAACACGCTTATGCCTAAATTAAATTAGTGACTAAAATGGCGTTTATTAAACTTGATACATAATGTATTATTATAGCCTTTAATATATAAAGCCTATAGGCTTTTTAATGTGGTTTTGGCAATATTAAGTTAGTTTAACATTTAAAGCATTTTTTGGTAATATAATTTAATCGGAAATTGTGGAAGAAGGGCCCAAATCCAGTGAAAGAAAATTTTTTCGAAAATATAAAAAACCAATAACTTTAAAACGAAGCAACAAGGCGATTTGTATAATTTATTTTTGGTAATTTTTCCACAAAACATATTTTTAATAATATTACTGAAAGCTTAATGTCAAAACAATTCATGGATTTGGATACTTTTCCACTCATTGAATTTTTAAATCTTTATAATGTCAATTTCTTTTAATTTTATTTTTATTTTTAAAAAAGAGATCCCTTAAAAAACATAATACGAGGTGTGTTCAGAAAATATCGGGAATTTTCGTTTTTTGAAACAAATATTTATTTATTCGTCTACATTAATGTTGTCGCCTTCAAAATAGTCTCCATTGGATATTATGCACATGTGCCAGCTCTTCTTCCAATACTCGAAACACTTCTAAAACTCGATCTTTGGGATAGCCTTTAGTTCTTTCAGCGATGCGCTTTTAATGTCATCTATGCTTGCAAAACGACGGCCCTTTAAGGTTCTCTTTATTTTTGGGATTAGGAAAAAGTCCGACAGAGGCACGTCTGGCGAATATGAAGGTTGGGGCATCATAACAGTATTGTTTTTGGCCAAAAATTTTGTTCAAAATTTATCAATTTTAGAACAAATTTTGCTGCCACGCGTTTCATACCCAAAACATTAGAAAAAATTTCATGGGATGAGCCAATCGATATACCAACATCATCAGCGACTTCTCTGTTGGTTTATAACCATTTCTTCCACTTTTTCCATGTTTTTATCGGTTGTTAATGCGCTTGTGCGTTCGTCATCTTCAACGTCTTCACGGCCATCTTGGAAACTCTTATACCACTTGTAAACTCTTGTTTTACTTATAGCAGACTCACTATAGGCCTTTGTTAACATTTCACAGAATTTATTTAATTTTTTAAGCAAAATTGGATACAAATTCTTTAATCCATTTCTTTCGAACGAACGATAATCGCCGAGCTTATAAAACACGTCTAACCTTAGCGGCTGCCGCAGACAAAGTAAACAATGAAAACAGCTAAAGTTTTTATCATACTTCGGGGGCATGTATACCAACATAATAAAGAAAATTTTATGACAACCTGACCCTCCGAACCCGCGAAATTGAACAATTTCCGTTATTTTCTGAACACACCTCGTACATATCTTAATACAAACACAATCTGTATTATCAGCAGTAAAAATACAGTTGTATCTCAAAACTGTTCTACTTTCAGATTTAGCAGACAATTTTTTAATAAATTTATAAAACATTTAACTGCTATTTTTCGTATTCCGTTAAAAATATTACCTGTTTTTAGATTACATTATAATAGTGCAGTTCCAGCAATACAAAAAAGAATAGATGATTTTATTGAAGAAGATGATATTAATGAAGAATGTGGCATTTCCTCAGACAGAATTTTTAGTAAAAGAATAATTGGTGGAAAAGAAGCAGCTTTTGGACAATTTCCATGGCAAGCTTATATTAAATTGGGGACTTTTCAGTGTGGTGGGGTTTTAGGTAACAAGACAAACTTTTTTGTTTCTATTTGACTAACTAACCAACTAATTTCTGGTTAAATTTATTGGGGTTATAAAGGACAATAAGCAATAATTACAACAAAGGTATATAAATATTCTAGGGATTATAATAATAAACTCAAACATAAATGGATTTACCTGAACCATAAATTGACTTAAGGCTCAGACAAATAAATATACATACTAACATCCTTTTGGAGCAATCTGATAATCCCAAAAGAAAACAAGGGAATATGTAAATTCTAACATTTAGAGCACAGAATATTTATCAGATTATTCAGGACTTTTTATTAATTAATTTTTGCGTACATTCTTACATTTAAACTTGAATACTTTTTTGTAATTAAAATAGTTTAACATTATTTAACTACTCCTATTGCATAATATTGTTTTTTTTTTCTGGTATAATTATAAACAATAAAAAGTCTCTGCCTAACAACGGGAACAATAAACTCATTATTTACCTTGTTAGGCATCAGTGATCGGTCGATTTCAATATTCACTGTGATTGGAACCAATCGGGTTTTAAATTGGGGGACTATAATAATATTTAAAATTGGTAAAAAGTGAGGTTAACAATTTGACAGATGTCATATTTTATTTAATTATTTTTAAAAATCACTTAAATAGTATAGTATATATTTATCTCTCGTATAGTAATAATCTATTAATTTTAATACATATTTATTTTGTTTTAGTTTCTAGGAAATATGTAGCGACAGCCGCTCATTGTATTATTACATCAAGACTGAGTGATATTCTAGTTTATTTAGGAGAGTTAGATACCCAGGATACTGGCAAAGTGAAGGAATTAGCTCCGGCTGAATTACACAGGGTAAAATTAAATATGCTAAACCAATGTAAAATACTAAACCTCAGCTTTTCCAGGAATAATTTTTAAAGACTCTATTTCAATTTATTAAATTATGACAAAAGATTTTGTCAAAAAGCATTTTAAACCAAAATTATTCTTCTTTAAATATAAAACATTTGTATATCTAGTAGATATTATCTAGACAGTGCGACAATTTAGTTCGTGGAATAAGGTCATATTTTAAAATAAAGTGGCGCCATCTATGTGTTCGAATATGCTGTCAAAATCAAAACTTGTTTGAGAAGAAATGTAATATCTTTGTCAACCAAAGATTATGGCAGATAATAGAAAACACATAGACGGTGCCACTGGTTTTTAAAGTATAAATTAAGCTTAAGCATTCTAAATGTATTTGACATTTTAGTTCTTAAGTAAGATAAACCTTCAAAAATTGGTTTTAAATTAAATTACTTTGAAATATTTAAATTACAAAATTAGTTTGTATGAAAGATAAATGTTAAAAATATTATTGAAAATATATGTTTGGGTCTATTGGTATTCTCATTTTTTAATGTTTTTAAAACAGATACAAATTCATTTTTTAGAATAACACAGGAAAAATAACATTGCCACTTAAAGCAATTGTACCATTTTTTAAATTGATGGCACTGTGTAAAATTCCTTTTTTTTTCTAATTTATGCTATTGTGCATGTAATTCGGAGAGAAAGAATCAAAAAATAAAAATCGGTCTTGTGGACAAACTTTTTGCAAAAATGGCGAATGTGTCGGGATTAATTAATTATTTTTATTATTAATTAAGTGATTCATTATTTAATTAATTCTTAATTGTAATAATATTTATTATTAAATTATTAAATATTATATTTATAATTATGAACAGGGTGATCCCCTATAATTTCGCCCCCTTTTAACTTCCCAAGTAACATATTTAGTTTTATTATGGTCTTCAAGAACGCTTTAAAACAAAATTTTGTTTTAAAGCGTTCTTCAATTGAACGGATGAATTTAGGTATATGGTGTGTTATATGAAATATGCTTAGAATTTTACAAGGAATCTAAAAATAAATTTATACAGGGTGAGTTTTAAGTTGACGCGTTCCTTTTAACAGCGTGTAGAAATCAGATAAACAAATAAATATTTTAAGTAACTTTTTTATCAAAACTCAAAAATAAGAGAGTTATAGGCCTTCCAAGTTTAATTAAATTTTGAGCCGGTGCTGGCTATTGTTAACAAAAAATATAACCATAAAAATAAAAATAACAAAATAAACAATGCAAAATGTCATCTATGACAACAAATATAACCATTTAAATCAAAATGACATTTAGCAATGAAAAATGTCAGTTTTTTTATGCCTCTATTATTGTTAAAAATGGTTCATAATTATAGCCATAATGAATTAGTGGAAATGTTACTTATTTATGGAGAGTGTCGTCAAAATGCAAATGCTGCAACTTAAGTAAATAATAACATATTTTATTGCAAAATGTCAATTTGATTTAAATGGTTATGTTTGTTGTCGAATATGACATTTTGCATTGTTTATTTTAATATTTTTATGGTTATGTTTTTCGTTAACAATAGCCAGGACCGGCTTAAAATTTAATTAAACTTTGATGGGCTATAACTTTTTTATTTTTGAGTTTTGATAAAAAAGTTACTTAAAATATTTATTTGTCTAGCTGATTTCTACACACTGTTAGAAGGAACGCGTCAACTTAAAACTCACCCTGTATAAAGGGTGAACCATTCAAAAAAATAAACTTTTTGTTTTTTCCTGCCTACTGATCAATTTTCCAATTTTTTTATACGTAGAAAAAAATTATTTTTCGCTACCTACACAACCACTTTAAAATTTTTAGGGACACTTAAAATAAAAAAGTTAAAGGGGGCGACATAATAGGGGATCACCCTGTACATGCGAATGGTACTTTATAATATACAGGGTGTCGAAAATAGAGGGCAATAATTTACACATGGTTTCTAAAGATAAAAATAGGAAGAAATCTTCTTATAAACATAGATCGGCAAATGGCCCTTAAGGGAGCTACAGCCTCTTAAAGTGGCCCCCTGAAGATGTTTTTTATTATTATTTCCGAAACGGTTTGAGGTAAAATAATGAAATTTTGGTTTAAAAAAAATATATCATTTTTATTTCCGAGGGTATTTTTAGCCCCAATTTATTAGGTGCAATTTTTTTAGCAAGTTGGCTGCAGAATATAAAAATGTAGAGTTTTTTACGTAAAAAAGGTACTTTTGTTAAAAACAATTAAATGGACCGTTTTCGAATAAAAATAAAATATCAAATTAAAAAAAATTTATTTTCTTTTTTAATTTAATATATTTAACAAGAAATATTATTATACCTATTTTTCGAAAAAACATTATTTTATCTCAAACAGTTTCAAAATTGATATCTATACAGTTTTCTTTTAACTTTTGGCCCTAAAAACCGCAAGTAGAATATTGCACAATATTTTTAAGGCACCCTGTATATTATACTAGAACCTTAATAGTTATAAATTATTATTATTTTAAGAAGAACTATTTTAAGTTTTTGGTCCGACGCCGCAAAAAATGTTAGATGACAATAAAATAAAATATTATGTTTGGACCCCCATTCTATTTTGAATGATTCCGATTATATTTCCAGAAAGTCTAGATTTTCTTTAGTTTTTTATATTAAAAATAACTACAATAAGTAGCTTTTTTTAGACAAAATATGCCAACAAAACTTTTTCTTTTAAGTTCTTTCCCTTGCTTTCTTCAAATCACTTCTTGAAAGTTTTTTCATAGCTATTACATAAATAAATTTAATTACAAAAGTAACAAAAAATTCAAAACATTGTTAAAGGTTTGTTGCCAAAAAACGTGCCCCTAACAAAAATGCTCAATAAAGAAATTTCTATTAAATGTATTTGTATAATGATCGTACAAAAAATAGTATAAGCATTCCAAACAGTAATTATTTAAAGCGTAAGGAGTCTTATAGTATTGGCAAATTTGTTAAGCTTAATTAATACTTACCTTATATACTATTTTTTGTCATTTGATACCTCGATAAAAACTCTTTAAATACTCCAATGATTTCTTTTCGTAACCCAATCCGGGAAAATGCTGTTTATTTTCCTTTTTTTAATTTAAACAAAATAAAAAATCTGGAAAGTGGATTAAAAAAATCTTCATGACAGCAGTTGTTAGGGAAGTAGGTGAAACCTAAACCAAACTCAATTAAATTTTTGAGACAACAAATTAGTCCATTTAATTAAAATTGGTTTTTGATAGGATTTTCATCCTTTTATCAAACAAATTTTAAATGAATGTTTTAAATAGTTCGGATTGTATTGCTACACAGTAAAAAAATATTTGTTAATTTTAACCAGATTAGTAGATTTAATAACAAAATCCTGTCAGAAATTTAACCATAATTCTTGTAATTTTCAAAAAAGCACCTTATTTTTACAAATCTTTTTGTAACAAAAGTATGTGTTGAAAATTAAACTAAAATGAAAAGAATTTTGCTAAAAAATGTTGCTTAATTAATCAAAGTTCCTTAACAAAAAAAATAACACATACCTAGGTATGTGTTATTTTGTTTAGGTCCTACATAAATGAACACACAAATAGCATACACACAATTAAATAACACACGATTCTGAAATTATGAGACGCCGTTTGTGTCAAAATTAAAAGTGCAAGTTCTTTTTTATTAAATTATTTCTTTATCAAATTATTTTTTTAACAAATTATTTTTTTATGAAATTATTTTTTTATCAACTTATTTTTTTATGAAATTACTTTTTATCAACTTATTTTTATATGAAAATATTTTTTATCAACTTATTTTTTTATCAAATTATTTTTTTATGAAAATATTTTTTTATCAACTAATTTTTTTATCAAGTTATTATCAGTCTTTTATGAACTTATTTTTTTATGAAATTATTTTTATCAACTTATTTTTTTATCAACTTTTTTTTAACAAATTATTTTTTTGTCAACTTATTTTTTATGAAATTATTTTGTGTGGATGACCTTGTTTCCTTAATTTGAGGGGAAATTTGCCGATTTGGCGCATAGTCAGTTTATAAGGGGGATTTAAAATATATGACCATAGACATATTAATATGTCTATGTATGATACGAATTGTAAACTAAATTAAATTTAGGTTATAATTTGATATATATAAATACTTATCAAATTTTATAATATTCATATTATGTAAAAGCCACTGAAAATCTCGTAAAGACAATAAAAACACAATGCCAAAACAATTGGTATACTATAGAAAACAAACAAAACGGTTAATTATTTAAAATATCCACATAATAATATGTCTATAATAAAAACCTTTTGACTATCGTGGTAAAAATACGACGTTGCCAAATTTTTGCTCTTATAAACATGCTATTATAAAATCCAAAATATCATTTTATATAAAAATAATTTTATAAAAAATAATTTGATAAAAAAATAATTTGATAATAAATTAAGTTGAAAATAAAGTAATTTCATAAAAAATAATTAAATAAAAACATATTTTGATACAAAAAATTATTTGAAAAAAAAATAATTTTATAAAATAATAAGTTGATAAAAAAATTATTTCATAAAAAAATAATTTTATAAAGAAATAATTTTATAAAAAATAATTTGGTAAATAATGCAAATAATTAATTATTTATAAAGCAAAATAATTTTATTTTGCACTTTTAATTTTGACACAAACGGCGCCTCATATGAAATCATTAAATTATAAAGAAATTTGAATTAGAAATTGCATATTACCTTTACAAAATTTCGGTAAAATATTTTACTGTTAAAATAATTAGAAACCTTGGTTTTCTACAAAAATTATGTTAACATTTTACAAAATAAAATTAACATACTACAAACTCATGTTACAAAATCTGATTTTTATAATAGTGTATTAAGCTGAATGTATACATTAAGCTTAATAGCAATAGAATCCAAACTATTTAAGACATTCCTATAAAATTTGTTTGATAAAATTAAATGAAAATCCTAGCAAAAACCTAATACATTAGCTCACACAAAAAATGACACCTTTTTCACAGTAGTTGGTAATATCTTTTTTACAGTCTTTTTATTTGTTCTAGGTAAAAAAGCGGATAGTCCATCCGAGCTTCAAATACCGCCTGACACAGCCAGACAGATACGATCTGGCTTTGCTGGAACTCGTGACAGAGACCAACTATTCCTTCCACATTTCGCCCATTTGTCTACCCGAGAAAGGTTTAACGTTAGTGGGACGCAAAGCACTGGTGGCTGGATGGGGCAAAATACAGCCGTCCAACGAACTGATGGGTACTAATATCTTAAGAAGTGCATCGGTTCCTATTTTAGGTGGGTGGATATTATGAATGAGTGAAATTCTTTCTCTCATAACTTCAGCCCGTAACTAACAAGCCCCCGTTGTTGCTAATGAGTTGATACCGTGACTAAAACGCACAAGTTCAGAGCTTGTTTTTATAATTCACAGCAGAACTAATTATAAAGATAATTATCTTTCTGTTTTTAGATATTAGAGAATGCATGCAATGGCACAAAATCAAGCAAATCTTCGTTCAACTGCACGACGAGATGCTGTGCGCAGGTCACGAGAACGGGCTGCACGACGCTTGCTTGGGGGACTCGGGAGGTCCCCTGATCGTCCTTGAAAACGGCAGATGGGTCCTGGCGGGCATCACCAGTGCCGGGTTTGGTTGCGGCGAGCCGCATCAACCGGGAATCTATCACAGAGTGCCAGTCACCGCTGGCTGGATTAAGTCCGTTATTAGAATGAATAATAGATAGGGTTTAGTCTATACTACATCCTTTATGTATTATTTGTTTTCATTATTGATCTTGCTTTATTGAAAATGTTCAGTATGGTTAAATATTACAGTACTTTCTCTTAAAAATTTAAAGAAATGGCTTAAAGTGCTTTGTGTTAACAGCATCAAGATAATTATATAGTTTGTCTGAATTTTAATATTTTATATTAATGCAACAAAATAAGGTTATAATGTTAAAATTAATAAAAACCTCAAATAAATATAAGATAACAAAATAAAAAGGTTCAGTTTTACGTATGGAACAAGAATACAATATTTACTATTTTTAAAATCTCTCTAAAAATGAATTAGTTAAAAATGACTAATTAGTACAGTAACTGTTATTAGTGACTGCTTTTTCACTAATACCATGGTTAACCATGGGATACCATGGTATCCCAATATTTAACAGCATAGTAGAGCAGTTTTCGAGATATAGTCAATTCCATATTATATGGAAAATTGACTATATATCAAAAACTGTTCTACTTTTCTAACTTTTGACGACATTTTCGGATTCAGGGGACAATTTTACATGGAAATTGACTGGGATACAAATTGCTTTTGACGAGAATTATTGATGGCTGCTTTTTCGCTATGACAATTAGTCAATTTTTACTAATTCATTTTTAGAGAGATAGGCATAAAAAATTAAGTATTGGGCTTGGTAATGGTAATTTTTTTATTGCATTTTTGGAATCTACGCATACAAGTTTGTTTAAAAAAAAATTCCAACGTTTCTCAAAATATTTTTAAGAGCGCTACAACGTTTTGAAAAGATTCCAAACGATGACCTTAAGGAGAGCACGTGACGTCACGATGTTATAATAGATGTGTCAAGACTTACAAATGAACCCAAAATTTGTTTCTAGCTCGGTCTTATATTAAGACCTTGGTTTCTAGGTTATGTTCAAAATTCTTTAACAAATTTAAATCGTTTGAAAATCGAGATAAAATACATTTTAAAATATTTTTTTTTAAATGTTTTCTTAAGTTTGTTGTTAACGGCAAGAGATAATAACTATTAAAGAATTTAGTTATTTAATTATATTTATTTATTTATTTATTTATTTATATCATCGTGATATTAGGCTAGCGGGAGAAATTATAGATATTGTAAGCAAAAATCGTTTGTTTAACAGTATGGATGATTTAAGTGAATATTCCCTATAGTAAAATTTGTTTCACACTTATGTCAAAATCCCAATTCTTTATTACATTAGGTTTTATAGACATTCTAAACCAAACGTAAAAAACGTGTTTTGTAATTTTTCCAACATATTTTCTCTCGAGAAATCGTTATAAACTTTTTTTTCCAAAGAAGAGAAAGAATTTTTTAAACTTAAAAGGAATTTTGAAAAATAAATAGTACTTGTAGATGTAGTAACAAGCGTTCTAAATTCTAGTCTAAAAGTGGGAAAACGCAGTTTTTTCAAATTTTAACTAGGTATATTAGTCACAAACTTTTCTCACTTTTGGGTTAGATTTTTTTAAACATAAAGTGATGACGAATTTTGTGGTCAAATTTGGATCTAGCAGAGTTTATCACACTATATTTTTGAAAATTTTGGTTGCAATAAAATGGTAAAACCTTCCTAATAGAATTTGTGACATCAGACAGAATTTGAAAATGTTTATATTTAGAAAATAAAATCCCATTTTCTTTTTACATTAAACTGCGTATCAAGACAAAACGAGCATGGGGCTAAAAAGTTCTTTATGAAAATAAACATGTAATTTTTGTATTACCCCCGCTCAATCCAGTGCTAAGTAGGCTGTTATTCTAAAAAAGTTTAACCAAATACTGTTAACTTATATTTTTTATACTGAACACTTTATCTAAATTAATTTTTTACGTTGTTAAGTTTAAATTATTTATTTATTTTGTTTGACTGTGCTTTATTTATTTATAAATAATTTCTTAGATAGGCAAATGTATTTATGAATTAAAATAAATTGTTAATAAAAAATGTACTTATTATTATTAAAAACAAAATAAAAAGGCTGTTATTTTATATAAAATAAGGAATCCTTTTAAAACACTAGAATAATAAAAATACATTCTTACATCTTACATCTTTATAAATAATAAAATTGATACATGAAATTTAATATTAAAAACATTAAAACTTACTTTGATAAAATTCGTTTTAATATATACTTTTATATTTAAAATAAAAATATAAAAAATGTATACATTTTCATATAAATTCTAGCCAGCAATACTTAACATTTATATTTAAGTGAATTAACATTTATATTTAAGTGAATCCTGGTGTAAGCTTTAGCTCTTTGACTTTCAAAGGGCAAAGTTTAATTAATTGGCGTAATAAAGTTAGCAAGAGTACAAAATTTATCAACCATATTTAACTTAATTTAGACTTAGTATAATGCGCCAAATAAACATTTATTGAAACAACTAAAAATGGTGTCAAAATTGATCGAAAAACGAAATTATTATTTTAAAGTTAACACAGCAAAATGTCTTAAAAATCTTCCTTTAAAATGAAAGTAATGACGAAAAAACGTATAATTCTTAATAGTATATTATGTATCAAGTTTGATAAACGCCATTTTATACACGAATTTAATAAATGTATAGAAAGGTTTATAAACGAGGTGCATACTATACTTTTTCTACGACAAATACTTATTATTATATTAAAATGATTTAAATCAAAAATTTGTATAGAGCGCCATCTATGAAACAATAGGGGAATCTGTGTGTCACCGTCAAATGTCAAATTTTTATATTTTATAAACACAGATTATAAAGATTATAAATCGAAATGTATTTCTTGAAAATTGACAGTTTTTCACAGTGAAAGTAAAGAAAATGTTTTATGAGCACTTTACAGTGGAGTCCGTGCCCGAATTTAAGTTATAGTTTACTGCCGGCGAAATTAAAAGGTCAGTACAATGTTCATATATTCAAATATTGGCGTTGAGAAACTATTTAATACTTTTGTATTTTTGTATTAAGATAATAAAATAATTTTCACATTTAGTATTATTTTACAAGAAATACACTTTATTTTTACGATTAAATGACATCTGACAACTTGTCAACTAACTTAAAAACTAAATTCAGCCCGTTATTAAAAACCTGTTGCTAACTTCAGCGCGTGACTAAAGCGCCATAAAGCCACAACTTGTCAATGTGTATTTAAAAGGTCACTTAGTGCCATGAAAACATGTACGGGCGTTTTAAAGGTGGGAGTAGAAAAAATAACTTAAATGTGCTAAGATATCATTATTATTTTAGTAAAAAAAGGTGCTTTACCATGTTTAACATTTAGTTTTTTCCTTTGTAGTGCCTATAGAAAAAATAACGAGTAAAAACATTGGATTTCTCTCTAGGTGCTGACTCAGCTCTGTTTAGTATTTTTGGAAAGCAGTATATAGTAATAGTTTTTTTGGTAAAAAACTTTGTATTTTTCAACAGTGTCCTTTGATCTCAATACACTTTCTTAATTAGTTGATCACTTCCAAATAATAAGATTTGCAGAGGTCCTGAAAATATGCATTTTTTGAGTTATGGTTTTACACTTATGAAAAATTTTCTCACGATTCTCATACCAAAGTGTATCACTATTAATCCGATTTTTCAACTCAATATTTTGTTTTTCTGAGGAGATTTTGGTGCTAAAATGCTTATAATGTTGCAGAAAGCATTCGGCGATGATTGTCTGTCCAAAACTAGGACATACGAATGTTCAAAAAATTCAAAAAGGTAATTCAAGACTTGTATGTTGTTCTTAATATTAGTATACATAGTATAAAATATTTGTTAATTTTAACAAAATATTAACCAGATTTTATGTTAATTCAGGTCCACATAACTTTATGTTAAGTTTACAACCAACTGTAATCTGTTAACTAATTAAATAAGTAGTTTGTAATTATAACAAACATTTTGTAGATTTAATAACAAAATCCTATGTCAATAATTCAACCATAATTCTTGTAATTTTCAATAGGAACCTTATTTTTACAAACATTTTTGTAGACCCAAATAAACGAACACAAAAATAACAAACACATCATAAAATTATAAAGAAATTTTGTACAATATAATTATCAGTACTACTACAACACTTACTGATGTATTTTGTAACTTTAACCCACTTTACTGTATCCCCTAATTTCAGTTTGTTTGTTGTTTTTTTTTTTGATACTTCGCACACTCATTAAATAGGTATAAGGAATCCGAATAACAATAATAACAGATTTCTAGAAATATATTATGAACACTCTGGATAGTTGTTACGAACATGTTATAAATTAGAAAAAAATAAGCAGAAACATAAGTTGCAGACGCTGAAGTCAGTTGAACTTGTTGATGCGTATTGTCAGTGGGAATGTTTTTATTGACTGCCTGAAATCACGTGTACTTTTTTAACGAAATAATTTGCTAAACATTAACAAAATAATCTGTAACCTTTGAAATTAACATAATGCTTACAAAATTGCATATTACCTTTACAAAACATTCGGTAAAATTTTTGGCCTTAAAAAGGGTTTAGAAGATTTGGGAAAGGGTTGGTATAATATACCATATTTACCATATATTTATGAAAATTACTTTGAAGAAGACCGAAATATTTATAAATAAACTAACCATTTTCGTTTTATTAACAATTTCTCGGCACCTTTCGAACACTTTTATGATTATTTATAGACACACCCTGGGATTCCATCAATAAATGCATGATGATGCCTTGGCAGTTGGCCATCCAATCTGTATTTAGCAGTTTTAATCAATATCGACAGATGATGAGGATGCAATTTATCCATCGCACCCAGAAGAGCGAGAATTTATTGTCAGGGACGTAGTGATTAAGATTAACATGTTGACCAAATTCAAGAACAAATAACCAAGTTTTACAATATCATGACGAAAACGATTCGAATTTCTCTTTATTATTTACTTCCCTGTTTGAAAAAAGTTATTACAAATATTGACATATTTAAATTTAA